TCATTAGTATTCGAGTAATGATCAAACTTATTCAAAGTTATGAAAATTGTATGGTCTGTGGCGACTACTGTACTACATTCCCTAGGGCCTAGCGCCTTTCTTCAGGTCGCATTTACTATGAATCAAGACGTTATGGCCGTACTGGAAATGCTGTAAAAGCAGGTTCAAATTGCGTGCGGTTCCATGTCTACAGGAAAACTGATTAACGGCCGTGAAAGCTGACATTTGCGTTAGTAGAAGAGAAGATCTGAGACATCATTCCCTCGTCGGCTGAATAATAAATTCGCGCAAATTGTCGATGGTGAAAACGCTTCAGCCCATAAGCAGCAGCGGAGAGTGAAAGCAAATTCGTCAACCAGCATATCACGGTGACAGATCGCACTCAACCCCGATTAAGCAGCCTGAAGCTTCTCTCTTTATGCATACCCCTTTTTATGCAGGTTATTGCGCCTTGTATGACAGCCACTCGCGCGTTTGACGAGTCTGACCGTGCCGAGTCCCTCGGCCGCTTTTTGTCCTCAATGTTCGCAAAAATTGACGTTTAGGTGAAGCCAGCCGCCTCCGCACAGACTATTACCTAGCTTAATGTCCACCCCCGTGTCCAGAATAACTGACGTCAAAAGCTTAGTCATCGGGTGATGGAGCAAAGCGAGACTAGTGAACCGTCAGGTGATCAACCGACTTCTATCACCATCAGCCTCATTATCTTCAACAGTTCGTCGAAAGAATTGTGCGCGCAAGGTGGAGCCTTTAAAGTCTCCACCTAAGACGCGTGGAGGGGAAACCTGGTGCGTTTATAAACGGTCTGGTAACCTAGGCCACATTGACGGATATGACCGGTTTTCCTATGCGCGTGTAGACCTTGAGCTTTTTTCCATAGTGTCCGCCTATCCACTGCCTTCTTCAGTAGTGCTTACTCTGCACCCTAGGTGTCAAAGAAAAGAAGATGGAACCGGCGTATTTATTGACTATACTGGTACTGCAGGTACTAGCCTATCCGCCTCCTTTTGATATTCTCATGCAAATATTATAAAAATGGAAAAAATTATAAACAGCAGGACATATAATTGCCCAGATCGTCAAGCCATAGGGTTGAGGAAATCATTTTCATATTAGCGGAGTTATTGTATGCTTTTATTTTGCTGACCTTTTCCACAGATTTTGCTTAACTTTCGAATTCCTTGATAAATCAACTCAATCAAGGCGCCTTTTGTACGGGCACACTCTGGTTGGAGACTTGCGGTTAGACCTTATGTAAAGTTTTTTTTATTTACAAAATAATTTGAGAAACAAGTACTGTTTTTCTTTCACAACTCCCTTAACAAATTAAGAATACTAGGCGTGTTTTGTTAAAGCATAGTTAAGAAGGCCTAAATGTAAATGTCTGTTTTTAACAGTACTTATCATACTGTTAAAATACCACATTTGAATCACCGCTTACAGATCAACTAAATAAAAATCTTACGTGTACTACCTGTATGCATTCGCCTGTTACATGAAACCCTTCCTCGGTGTATTGATGAGTTCTTGCTTCATTCAGTCTCATATTTTAACTTGTATTTTGTCCAAAGTTTAAAATTTGTTGATCTACCTTATTCCCTAAAGCCCGCCGCCTTTCGTCAGGTCGCATTTGCGATGAATCAAGCCGTTTTGACCATACTGGAAATGCTCTTAAGGCATGGCCAACTTGCGTGCTATATCACGTCTACGTGCAAATTGATTGACGATCAGGAAAGCTGACATTTGCGTGATTAGAAAACAAGACCCGGGACATCATTCCTTCGTTGGTCGAATAATAAATTCTCCCCAATCCTCCACAGCGATAACGGTTCAGCCCATAAGCAGGCACATTCGTCAACCAGGATGACACCGTGAATGCCTGGCAGATGGCTATCGACTGCTAGCAAACAACCAGAAGCCTTTTCCCCAGACATCTTCATTTTTCATGCAGGTTATTGCGTCTTGTGTGACAGCCACCTCCACGTTCGACGAGCTTGACCACGCCGAGGCTCTCGGCCGATTTTCGTCCCTGTTGGTCACAAAATTTGACGTTTAGGCGAAGCCAGCCGCCTCCGCACAGACTATTACCTAGCTAAAGGTCCACGCCTGTGACCAGCAGAACTGACGTCAAATGTTAATCGTCGGATGCTGGAGCAAAGCAGGACTCGTGAACCGTCTTGTGGTCAACCCTAACTTTTATACCCATCATAATCATCAACAGTTTGTCGAAGGGATTGTGCACGCAAAGAGGAGTCTTTAAAGTCTTCATTTACGGCGCCTGGACTGGACAAGATGTGCGTCTATAAACAGTCGGGTAACCTAGGTCCACTGACGGATATGAAAGGTTTTCCTACGCGTGTAGACCTTTAGCTTTTTCAAATACTGTACATGTAGCGACAGCCTTCTCCTTAAGTGCGCCACTTGCCCCAGCTGTCAAAGAAACGTAGATGGAACCAAAGTAATTATCGACTATACTGGCAGCACATGTATAATCTAAGAGCCAAGATATTTGTGCTGGCGGTATTACGACGCTACTTCCCACAGCTCTGAGGGATCTGGCTCAGTATTGATTCATCGCCTTTTTTAATTTCAGTTTTTTAAATCTCTCGGAAATTATTGTCCAACTCGTTGTAAATCCGTATTTTAAGGGTTTAAATATAGAGACTTAAATTTTCTATATTTTCTACTCCGACTTGGCAATTACTTTTTCAGTAATAAAGAGGTGTAGTCTCATGAAGCGTTAACTAAAATTCGGAAATCTGTTTAAAGTTGGAAAGAATTACTTGGGCCGAGTTAAAATATTGAATATCATGAGACAGAATCCTATGGCTTTTGTGCCCTGGGCTGTTTAACTGGTAAAAAATAAACCCTTAAGTGGCTACTAAAATAACAAGAGTGCCTCTGAATTCTAGTGATGTATCTGCAAGCTCAAATATTTGTAAAGGTGGCATGCATTCAAATATTTTTACTAGTACCCTCTTGATAGCGTTTTACTTTTTCTTCGAATTTCATAACTAATGAAAGCACAGTTGATTGCCTTGAAAACCTGTGCAGGTAAGGATGACCCTTAACGAAGAGAGAGCTACAGCTATGCTCAGTTTTCATTCTGAAGGTGGTTAGCAAACTCGGAGGTTGAAAATGCTTATGCTATTTGATATTACAGAACAAAAGCTTTGTTTTTGAAAACCTTCAAGAAACAAAGTATGAGATATTTATTTCCTGAAAATCAGCTAAAATCTCATTTAAAAAACCGTATTGTTTTCCACAAACAAAGAGCAAATTCAGATTGAAAACTGTATTTTTTTATTATTTGCAGGAATAACAAAAATAAATTCCTACTTTGATGTGTCCTCGTAAAAACATTTCTAATGCAGATACCTGTCTGTCAAATATCTACTATAAGTGCTCTTTAAAGATGTCATGTATAAATGAAGGTAATTTATTTATCTTATTTTTTGTGTGTTTTACTGACACCGTTTGTGGACTTTCATTCTTATCGACAAACATTTGTCACGGTGGATTACGTCTACGTATATGACCACAACAGCCATCTTCATAAAGGTTTATATCTAAAGACTCACTTATTCGGTAAATATTTTCACGAAATATCTTAATGTTAATTTAAGTTTTAAATCCACTTACAGTTTGTCATTATTTTTGCCAAGTTGCCTTGCCTACGTCAATGCCAATTTAGGTGTGTGGTTATCCGTCTTTCTTAAATTTCGGCTATTCGCATCAGACAATTTACATGCGCTAACTAAAAATTTGCCCAAGCCATCAGTTGATGATCACCTGCTACATGTGAACGTGTTCATGCACGCGGGTCGCTAATGATATGCCGCTTATATAGAACTGAATCATGGTTAAATATACTAGTAAGAAATGTGAGCAGCCCAAACTTAAGAACAAAAAAACCAAATTACTCGTGACGTTTGTTTTCGCATTATCCATATGCAGGGAGTTGATATACTCGTCACCAGGGTCGCACACTTTGTCTTAGCACCATGCTCACTTATGAAATAGTTTTTACAAACTTTTTTTTATTTTATCGATCTTTTCTAACAGAGAATTAAAATCCCGCCCGATTTTACCGAGAAAAAAAAGTTGACGTATTCACACTCAAACAAATGCTGTACAACACATGAAGAAGCTTTCTCCCTAGACCCAGAATTATGCTTAATAGAGGATCCCATAACCAAAAAACATCATTGACCGTCTCCCGTGTGCAAACGGTCCCTGTGTTTATATTGTTCACACAGGTCAACGACTTGGGACTTGCAGTAACGAACACAAGCTCTCTACTCGACTACGAAAGCCGCTCGTTTTTGAAAGACACCTATTTGAATTTTTTTGAAAGTATCGAAAAAAGTCCTTTATACAAAACGCATTACTCACTGGCATCCACACATTTTTCCACAAAAACGCATTAAGGTATATTCAGCTATCTCGCTGCCACATCTTTAGTATTCTAATATTTTACAGTTTCAGTAACAAGTTTGTAGAGCTGATAAACATGCGATGCATTCTCCTTGTTATGGTTTATGAGAAGTGATTTATCAGACCGATTATTCAAAAACGTATATGGCATACAAAAGATCTTATCGGACCCACGTCGTCCGTCGTTCATTCCTCGTAGTTGGAACAATTCGCCTCTCACGCTGCCACATTATCACAGACGGGCAGTTCTGTGGGAGATCTTTTCAGAGTAGTTGTGATTTAAAATTGCAAAATGT